TAGTTGATGTGTGATAAACAGATGAGAGGCCTCGATGTTGTTATTATTGATCTAGTTATTCAGCGGAGTATGGATAACGACCACAAACTCTTTCTAGACAGTCCTGTGGAACGCTAGCATACTCATAACTTGTAGGTGTTGTGAATGATGTGTTCACCGGTGTACTCTATCCCCCTCATGGTTGCCTTTAGGACATCTACTGTTGAGGAAACCCCTTTGCAGTAATGTTCGTACCGATGAAAATCCTAGATTAGGTCCCTTGAGATAGATGTTGTGTTAGGGACGTAAAGTGAGGATAACGGGAATGGGTAATCGGGTTATTGTTGGTTGGTGAAATAAAATATAATTATTTATTGCGGGTTGAAAACTCTATATACTCACTAGGCTCCCAAACCTGAATCATGCAGTTTATTTGTATTACAGGTAGTGGCGTGAGGGCATAAGATGGATGACTTGTCAAGTTATTTTGTATTATAGACCTGTTGTTTTATATAACTGTTGTAAGGTCTGTAATGTAATGTTTATTTTTTTGGTCTGTTTATCGGAACATGACATCCAGGGTTTTGTTATACAATGAAAATACATTTCTTTAAGAAATGCTTTGGTAAATCTTATTTTTATCAGACTTCGTTTTGGGTACAAATTCCGCAACTCTTTTAATCAAATGATTACTCTGAAATTGTTTTAAAAGCATAAATTAAACCGGTCTTTTCTGACCGTGATTTTGGGGATGTCACATTATTTAAATTTGGTAGAAAATTTGTTTATAGTTTTTAGGCAATTTGTAACTATTTTAATGTTTTTTGAAACCATTAAACTTATGTTGGTAAAATTGAAATTTAAAGTTTTTCTTTACATAATTTTTTTTCATAATAAAATAGAAAAAGAAATCCTCGACTCCCTGTTGGGGATCCCCGGTCCCTATTGAGGGTAGGGATGGGGATTCATTTATATTCCTCCCAACGGGGATGAGGATGGGGATGGGGATAGGGATTGGAATGAGGCTTTTTGGATAGGGATGGGGATTAAGGTCCCTTGTATTCCCCGCCCCCATTTCCATCTCTACATGCGGGTGTTTTTGTCAAAAATTACACAAGTACTAATCAACCAAATTGAATGAGAGGTTGTGATGTTCATAGTGTGTAATAGAAAATGGTGAAAGAAAGTGACACAATGGTTTACAAGGAAAGCCCTTGATCCTTGCTAGGATCTCCAACACAAAACCTTAGGAGGTGATAATGATCACCTGCCTTGATGATTTTATTAATGTAAAAAGATGTTTACAGAGAATATTTGAGTATGAACAAGTGGCTAATCTCGTAGAGTAATCTTCTAGTAAAAAACAGTGTGTTGTGTGTAGAATACAAGTGTCAATTTATAGTCTAAACTAGCCAACAAGATGTCAGATATTTTTGGGATCCTCTATGACCCGCTTCACGAACGTTATTTGACCAAGTATTTCGGGTCTTTAGCATAGTTGAGATGCTTCTTCATTGAGAATTGGTCTTCCCTTGATTACTTCTGCACACGTGTTAGTTATGGACAAAAAATGACCATTATAAATATTAATAAAAATAATAACGGTAATAGTCGGGATCCTGAAGTAACTGAGGATCCTGAATATCTGAGGATCCTGGATATTTGAGGATCCTAACCCTAACAATTACCCCCAAGTTATTCCTGAAAATGTAAGAAGTAGTTTCTAAAATATTAAAGGAATAACTTTAATTAAATAGATAAAAGGAATAACGGTTAGGTAATTTAAAATCCAAATGATAGTTTACTAGTCGTTAACAGTCAAATCACCTTCAATCGTTCAGTATAAATAGAAGTGATTAGTTCCTAAATCTCTTATTAGTTCTTCCCTTCTTTACCTGTATTACTTTTCGAGCATCGAAGATTCATTAGAATGTAATTATTTTTACTTTTCAATTTCTTTCAGTATGGTTAGAAAAATGATTATCTCCCGTAAAAGTATTTTAGCCCTCCTTAACGATGATTTTGTCGATCAAGGGATCCTTTCTTATGAAGAGACTTATTTTTTTGGGGGATGATGATATTGAGTCTCTAAGACT